AAACCAGGCACTGGACACAGGACACCAGACACCAGGACCCCTGTACTCACGGCTGCCGTCGATCACCGTGGAGCTGGTTGGCAAGGAGATCTCCTGGAACCTGGGCGACACCACGGCAACGGGAGGCTTATTGACACGAGGCTCTGGGGAGAGGGGAGAGGCTCAATGTAAGCATCCTTCAGAACCGGCCCGTGGGTCTGTGTCTGTCTGTCAGAACAGGCCCGTGGGTCTGTGCCTGTCTGTCTCTCACCTGGCTTGACAGTGACGTTGACGTAACCCTCCCCATGAGCCCCTTCGCCGTCCACCAGGACCTTGAACTCGTACAGCCCCAACGTCAGCTGGGGGTCGAAACAGAACACAGGGTCAGGACACCCCAGGGGTACGGCGGCCCAGGGTCTGCCCACTGGGGTATTACTCAGAGGTGGGGTGGGCTGCTGCTCTTTAGCATTAACTGCTTCAGGGACAAAGTTCCAGCAGGGCAGCAGTTCAAGTGTGCAGAATCTGGGGGGACAGTTTCTGCTAAGTGCAGTATTTGGGGATCCTGACCTTACTGAGCTTGAGGATCCTGCTGTGTTTCCCCTCCATCTCTCCACTGTAGTCATGGGGGTGAGTGATCAATCTCCAGTCAAACACGTACTCAGTCCCTGAGAAGGAGACCAAGACAGGTCATGGACACACACTTGACGACGGGGGGTGCGTGTGTCAGGGGTGCCCCAGACCACGGCTCTCCACCCTACCTTTGGGGGGCTCCGGCAGGACAAACGCATTGAGCTGCACCTCGCTGCGCGGCAGGGTGATCTCCACACTGTTCCCTGCAGACACCACCAGCTCCCGCACTAGACAGAGACAGCAGAGCGGCGTGAGAAAGCCACAGATCAGAGTCCACAAACCACAACACAAGCCAATACTGGGACACACACGAGCACAACACACACTGGAATGCTACAGGACCTAACCAGACAATACACACTGGCTGAGTATTTAACTAGGGTCAGAAACAGCGAAGAGAAACACACCCTGACGAAGTGACCAACCTGAGAAAAAGTAAGTCTCTCAACGTTTCAGGAGTTAAACATTGTATGTAAATGTCCTGTGATGTGTTCGTTCTGTAAATGTCTGTAGATATTGTGTTGACTGTATGCGCTTTGGGAACACTGAAATTCATCAGTCATGCCAATAAAGCTCATTGAATTGAACTGAGACCAGAGTTAGTTAACACACTGCACTGAGACAGAGAGAGGGGCTTGAAGTCTCTAAACAAAGCAATAGCACTATTTTGAGTAAGTCTCTCACCGGCCTGGGTGGGCGCAGAGGGGGTGTGGCTTGTAGGGGTGGTGGGCTCCAGTGTTCTTGTAGAACTCCAGCTGCTATTGGACGTTACCGTGGTGACCATTCCTGTAGAGGGGGTGGGGTTTTGTGCTGCAAGCTTGGGGTCCGACAGCTCTGTGCTGCCACTGGTTGACAGGCTCCCCTTCCTATTTACCGTGAGGGACAGTGTGAGAGGATTGGCCACAGTCACTGGGGGGGCGGGGCCTGAGGCTGGCGGGTCTGGAGCTGCATGCTGAGGACAAAGAAAGGGCAGGGTGAAGGACAAGCAGACATACATACAGCCACAGGCCAGAGCAGCAGTCAGGCTGGGACTCACAGTGTCAGAGGTAGGGTCCTCCCGGTTCACGTAAGGCTGTGCCTTTTCCATCTTCCCTACATCTCCTTCCTCGCTCCTCTTCATCCTCCTCTCGCCCCTGTCCTGCTGCCCAAGCTGCCAGAGCTGCCCGCGGGCGAGAGGTGTGGCGAGGCGTGTTGGAGACAGGTGACATCGCCCCGGTGCAGGGCAGCTCAGCAGAACACAGCGCCCCCCCTGGCTCCAGGCGGCACTGCAGTCCGGCCGCACACAGCAGGCTCTCACACACTGCACTGCCCCCCAGGTCTGCCCTGTCGACAGGGGGCGCCACCCTGCCCCTCTCACTCCGGGCCACGGCACGGCCTTGGCTGCCCCCGGCACACCGCACGCTTCCGCCTCACTGCAGCCTGGGAGAGGCGTGGAGAGAGCGAGAGCAGGCGGCGGAGTCAACATGGCTCTGCAGCAATACTGGAGCCCATCTCACACTGGGACAGACAGAGGGGCAGAGGCGTGTGCTGTCTGTAAAGGTCTGGAGGAGCGGTGGCTCTGTGGCTCAGGATCTGCGCCTGTGGCTGGAAGGTTGCTGGTTCAAATCCCACAGCCGGCAGAGGAATCCTACTCCATTGGGCCCCTGAGCAAGGCCCTTAATCCCAACTGCTCCAGGGGCGCCATATAAATGGCTGACCCTGCGCTCTGACCCCCAGCTTCTCTCTACCTGTCTGTGTATCTCATGGAGAGCAAGCTGGGGTATGAAAAAAGACAAATCCCTAATACAAGAAACTGTATAGGCTCATTGTTTGTCTGCTGTGTCAACACTGACTCAAGATCACACCAGTAAAGATCTCTGAGCTGAGATGAGATAAGAGAGCAGCTGTCCTTCCCACTGAGGGAGGAACCTCAGCAGAGACCAGAGTCCCTTCTGTCCCTGCCCCGGAGAAGACTATTCAGATATTATTGTTCTCCAGGTCTGTAAATGTTTTACTTCGGCAACACTGGGATTCATCAGCCTTGCCAATCAAGGCAGAGTTTGAGAGAAAGGCTGGAGCAAGAGAAAACAATGAAAACTCTTCCCAGTTTTACCCCCCACAGGAACAGGATGCAAACATCCGGGCTGTCTGGATTATCTGGATTACAACACCCCCATCCCTCTCATGCCCTAGTTCCTCTGGGATACAGTTCCCATGGCTACTCGCATCTCGGTGGAAGTTATTATGGTCTGTGCTGAAACACTATCTTTGTCTGGGAACAATGCACAGCAGCCACTGTGCTCCCTCCTGCCGAGAACAGGCCCTGTGTCTCAGCACCGCCCCCGGCCCCCGACACAGCAGCCCCACTGGGCACAGACCCGGCTGTCCTGCCTGAAGCGGGTCAGGCCTTCGCTCACAGGAGGAGCAGTGATGGGGCAGTCTGGAGGGGCAGGAGGAGGGATCGGGGCAGGAGCAGTGATGGG